AAAGCACAATACTATGACCAGAGCTGAAGTCAGATACCTAACCAACTGAGCCACCCAGGCGCCCCTATACTTAATATTTAATTAATAAATGTATAATTGCTAAAATTACATAGCTCAATGGAGAAAAAAAGTTGGGATTTGAGGATTAAAAGGCCAAGCTCAAAACCTATTGGTTTTATAATCTTAGGATGTGTAACCTTTCTGATGTTTCAGCTTCTGAAAAACTGAAAGCTAATCATACCCATCTTACAGAATTGTTGCAAGGGATCAAAATGTGAAAGTCTTTTTGAAAGTGTAAAGCATTAATAAATGCAGGACATTATCATTACTTGCTAAATTACAACACCTCACCAAGGGTGGGAGGGGTGTATTTCAGCTGCAATATATACTCTCTAAAGCAAAACTTATCCTTAAGGATTCTGATGTTTAATTACAAAAATGGGGAAACAGAATGTATAATGATTATGACCAAGGCTTCAGGATCAGATTGACACCAGGTTTGTGTGCTCCACCACTTCCTGGCTGTGTAATCTTTGGCTTGCTACAATCTTTAAAAATCTGGGATCGTTATCTGTAGAATGTGCAAAATAATATTCTCTATTCTGGTATCCTTCCTAATAGGATTAAGTGAGCTGATGCATGTAAGCAGCTTTGCACGGTGCCTGGCACTAGATGTATTCAACTTTTTTGTAGCACTCAGCTATTAGTAACTTCTCGATTCGTCAATGGCCATTGACAGTGAGGCATGAAACACTGAGTAAGCTACAAATGCCAAAGACCCAGTCCCTGAGTTCAGGAAGTGCAGCCCAAGAGGGCATGCCCTTAGCTGGAGATGGAGGTGGAAGGGGGGCGTCCAACAAGGCTGGGAGGAAACAGTTCCTTCCCCTACCCTGAGAAAGGAAAGGTGGGAAGCGCCGCTTGGAAGGGGTCCCCAGAACGCCCGCTGCCCGCCTCGGCCTCCCACGGCCCCGGTTAGGATGGCTGAGCAGTCCACTTACAACTCCAAGCTCTGTGGCACCGCCTTCCGGGTGTATCTGGAGATCATCCTCCTCTTCCTCCTCTGCCGCGGAGGGGGCGGGCACGCCAGGGTCGGGGCCTCGGGACCTGGCCCTCCCGCCGGCTCCGGCCCGGCCCCCTCCCGCCACCTTCCGGCCCCGTCACGCCCCGTCGCCTAGACTCCGCACCGCCACCTCTCCAGGGTCCCCACCCCTCTAGCCCTCCGCCCTGCCTGCTTCCCCGCGGGGGCGGAAGTGACGAACGCACCTGAGCACCCACCTAATGTTCCCGCGGACGCGCAGCAGTGACGTTGCTGGGAGTTCCGGGGCGAGCGGGTGTTTCAGGGGTGTCGGCTAACCTCAGGCGCCAGAGAAGCGTCTGGCCTGACCTTGGGCCGGACTTGGACTGCTACTGACGCGGTAGGAGGGGCGGTCGAGGAAAGGTGCCGCAGTCGAGACGCGTGGGGCAGGCCCGAGGATCGTAAGCGGAATTGGCTTCAGTTTGTCGGCTGGAGGGAGAAAGCGTAGTCTGAGTCAAGAGCGCTAGACTCCAGCTCAGCCCTCTGCAGCTTGGTCTCTTCTCTTTTCTGTGCTCTGGTTTTCTCACCTGTACAGCAAGGAATTAGGCTGAGTGGTCTCGAAGCTCCTTCCAGTTCTGACACTAAATTCTTCATAAAAATGTGTGCTTGGCATTATGGGGCGGGTCGACAGAATTATCTGTCGCTCTGGGTTGAGAAGCCAAATGATTTGGACAGACTGCGGTGACTGGATGCACGTTCCTCTCGACTTCGTTTTATTAGTCCTTTAGAAAACCGAGTAAGGATAAAAATCGAATTGTGCCTTACAGTGGACCATCCAGTACAGTGCTTGCCTTTACCAAGCCTCGTCTGGCAGCAATAGTGAGCTAGCACTTTTGTTTTAAGGAAAACCCTTAGAAAATAGATATCTATCTACCTGCTCTTAATATACTGGAGCTGTACCCCCTGAGACCTGAAAAGGGAGCAGTTTTAGGACAGCTGTAGGATCAAGAACCGTGGGCAAATTATTTTGGGGTGAGATGATAGGACATGAATGTTTTGTATTCCCCTGTGCCATACAATATTCATAAAAAGAGGTTGAAATTTTGCAGCCTAAGGGAGATTGCTCTTAAGAGCTTTCAAATAATAACAGTTTAAACTGGGGGAGGATTTTAGAAATGAAAGAGTAACATTCTCATTCTACAGTTAAGGAAAAGGCCCCAGAAAGAGAAAGTGAAGTGCCGAAAGTGACAACCAATTAGTGGCGGAACTGGGACTTTTGATAGTATTGAAACATAAAATGTTATTGTAGTGTTTCTCAAAGTGTGCTACACACACTACTGCTAGTACAAGGGCAAACATTTTTTTAAAATTCTTACACGCCTATTAATTTGGGAATGTGACACTGGATTCCCATTTACTGTATTATATCAAAAGTTCTTTTAATATAATTTCAAGTATGAAGAACATAATTTTCAGCATAAAAACCTCATTAAAAGAACATTAAATAGGTGTTACTATTAATACTTGATAAAGTCAAAAAATTAAAATGATAGTATGTGGGTAACTGAATTTTGGAAAACAATGGAATCATCTAGAATCGTTTGAGAATTTGGATATTCTGCATTATTCTATGTGGTTTATGTTATTGAAACTTTAAATGTAGTTTTCAAAGAATGGAAGAAAATATGAAGCTTGCTACAGTGGAAGACACTGTGGAGTATCACCTATTCCTGATACCAGATGAACCAAGAGACCCAGAAAAACACAAAGAGATTCTTCAAAAGTATATTGAGAAGATAATGACCCACTTTGCACCTATGCTGGTCCCCTATATCTGGCAGAATCAGCCTTTCAATCTCAAATATAAACCTGGAAAAGGTATGGCTCTTTTACTTATTTTGATTTGATACATGTGAATTTTAATTCTGACAACAGTGATGTGTAATAGTCCATAGTTCATTCACTGTTGTCAGGAGATTTATAACCTGAACTTTTTAGATTAGTGATGCTTGCTTATATTTGGTTAAGCCCTTAAACTAACCAAAAAAAAATTTTTTTTAATTCATTTGATGAAAGCTTTCTAATAGTAATTACCTTAGGAACCTAATACATACTCAAAATGATTGAACTGTAGCTATTCTTTGGAACTTTACTTTTCTATGCTAGAATGTATCTGGGTACCTGTACTAAACAGGTTCAGGCATCTGCTTCCTTAACCATAGCCTCCTTTAGTGGTTACTCTATTCCTTGCTCTTGATCATGGGTTTCGTAGGCTGCCTTTTTTCACACAGTTGGCTCTACTTGACTTATAAAGAGCAATCATTGGGCTTAATGACCATTATTTGCCTCTCAGAAGTATTTTGAGGTTCTTTCATGCTTCCTTGTGTTGTTGGTGCTTAAGATCTGACCTCTGGCCAAGTATGGCATTTTTTGTTATCATTTCATATAGCTTTAGTAAAATGACTCCTGAATAGGTGACCAAGGCTCTGCTCCAGGGTCTTATTTCAGGAGTCTAGCATCTTTTGATACTGTCAGTCTAGGTCTTGATTTCATGTTTATCTGTTATCTTTTGGTTAGCAGTTGCCACATGTCTTCCTTTGTGTTCATTTTATTGAATCCCTGTTCACTGAAACACATGTAATATTTATTGGCAAGAACACTCTCACAGTGGCACAGCACATCCAAGACCAACTCCTTATCTGTTTCCTAGAAAATCATTTTTACCCAATGTTTTCTTGTTTTCCTTAATGGCTTTGCTATCCACCTAGTTATTCAAGCTTGTTAGTAATTCAGAATTGTATTCACCTCTTCACTTCACCATAGTCAGTCAGGCACTAAATCCTACTGTGGTTACTCCTAAAATATGACCCTTTCTCTACATTTGCTTGGCTACAATCTAGACCCTCTTAATCTCTTCATCTGGAAGATTACAGTAACCACCTAAGTAACCTCTCTGGTTCCAGTATCTCCAGTTCTTCACATTGTTGCCAGTTACCCTTGTGAAACACAAATTTGATCATGTTACTCTTCTGCCTAACATCCTTCACCAGTTCCCCATTGCTTCTGGATGAAGTTAAAATTGAAGTTTAATATATAAGGTAGATAAAAATAGACACTTTAATTGGAGCTTCTCTAGTTGAAGAAATTTGAGAGACCTGGGGTGAGGTGAAGAGTTAGTTGGGATGTTCTTCCCACCTGTTTTGTTTTTTTTGTTTTTTTGGTTTTTTTTTTTTTTGCCATGGCAGCTCTAAAAACACTCTATAATGTGCTTGTTTGACCCTTAGTCTGTTAATGTGGTAGATTACATTTCTTGATTTTCATACACATTCCATTCCATTCCAGGAATATATTCTACTTGGTCATGGTGTACAATCCTTTTCATGTGTTGAATTTAGTTTGCTAGTATTTTCTTGAGGATTTCTGCATTAGTGTTCCACAGAAATTGGTCATGGTTTTCCTATATTGTCTTTGTTTGGCTTTATTATGAGGGTAATGCTGGCCTCATAAAATGAGTTTGGCAGTGTTCCCTCCTCTTCAGTTATTTGTAAGAGTTTGAGGAGGATTGATGTTAATTCTTCTTTAAATGTTGGTAAAATTCTGGGGTGCTTGGGTGGCTGTCAGTTAAGCATCCGACTTTAGCTCAGGTCATGATCTTACGGTCCCTGGGTTCGAGCTCCGTGTCGGGCTCTGTGCTGACAGCTCAGAGCCTGGAGCCTTCTTCAGATTCTGTGTCTCACTCTCTCTCTGCCCCTCCCTTGCTCATACTCTGTCTCTCTCTCAAAAATAAATAAACATTAAAAAAAAAAGTTTAAAAAAATGTTGCTAAAATTCTCCAGTGAGCTTTTCTCTGTTGGGAAGTTTTTTGATTACTGATTCAGTCTCTTTCTAGTAACCAGAAGTAATTCAGTCTCCTTCTAGTGATCCAGTCTTGATATGTTGTGTATTTCTAAGAATGAACTTATTTCTTCTAGGTTATCCAATTGGTTGGTGTACAATTGTTCATATCATATGTTTCCTTGTAGTCCTTTTTATTTCTGTAGTATAGGTTGTTATATTGCCTGTTTCATTTCTGATTTTAGTTACTTGTGTCTCCTTTCTTTTCTTACTAATTTAAGATTTTGTAAATTTTGTGATCTTTCAACAAACCAGCTCACCTTAGTTCATTTTTTTCTGTTGCTTTTCTGTTCTCTATTTCTTTTATCTCTGTTCTAATCTTCATTATGTTCTTCTTTCTGCTAGCTTTAGGTTAGCTTTTTCTTTTTCTAGTTCCTTAAGGTGTAAAGTTAGGTTGTTGATCTGAGATCTTTTATAACTATAAACTTCCTCTTAGCACTGCTTTTAGTATGTTACATCTTTGTTTTCATTTGTCTCCTTGTATTTTCTAACTTCCTTTGTGATTTCTTCTTTGACCTATTGGCTTGTTTAAAAGTGTATTAAGTTCTACATATTTTTGAATAATGCACTTGTTTAAAAAATTCCTGCTCCATCTAAATCCTGATATTCCTAGAACACTTTATTGTCTGTCATGCTTATGTGCCTTTGCACATGCTATTCTCTTTTTGGAAAGCCTACTTCTGGTCATTCTTCCACATGAACATAGCTCAGATATTCTTTATGGTCACAGAGCCCTCAGTGCATATGTCCATTCATTATCTTGTTGTTGTTGTTGTTTCATTATCTTGTTTTGAGATGGTGCGGTTGTCTTGTCTCCGGTTGTCTTGGGTCCTCAAGGGAGGGCTTTTTATATCCTGTTCAGGGTTGCAACCCCAGCTCCCAGGTGTGGTACCTACAGTATAGTCAGTCAATGAATGTTCGTTTAACTGAATGATTACTTGTATGTTTATGTGCACAGACAAGTTTATTTGGTTATATGATTGCTTTTCTTTTGTTTTTAGGAGATGTTCCTGCTCATATGTTTGGCATGACAAAGTTTGGGGATAACATTGAGGATGAATGGTTTATTGTTTATGTAGTAAAGCAAATTACAAAGGAATTTCCAGAGTTAGTAGCAAGGTATTAGTTATTTTAATAATCTAAAGGAATTCTCTTGTTGAGACTGACCACATTTTTATCCATTTAGTAAAAATTTTTTGGTAGTCTGGTAGAGATTGAACAAATTTGAGACATAGATTTTGAAAGTGACTTGTGTGTTTTCTTCCTTTTTTCTTGTGACTTCCTTTTCTTGAGGAAAAATTAAAGTACATTGGAGAATTTAACTTCTAAATTTTTAAACGAAATCTGCCTATTTTAGCTTTTTAAAAATTATTCTCATTGTGAAAGATCAAATACAGATGGTAAACAAAGTTCAAACAATACCAAAGGGTGTACTGCTCTTTAAAAACAAAATCATAGGGGCGCCTGGGTGGCTCAGTCGGTTAAGCCACTTCGGCTCAGGTCATGATCTCGCAGTTCCCCGCATCAGGCTGGGTGCTGACAGCTCAGAGCCTGGAGCCTGTTTCGGATTCTGTGTCTCCCTCTCTCTCTCTGACCCTCCCCCGTTCATGCTCTGTCTCTCTCTGTCTCAAAAATAAATAAATGTTAAAAAAAATTAAAAAGAAATAAAAAAAATAAAAACAAAATCATAGAAAAAATTCCATTCATATATACATATACATTACAGATTTCTTTACTATGTCTTCCTTTATTTTACCATAGCGCGTACCCTCTCTCTCTCTCTTTCTCTCTCTCTGCATATATGTTGAGAAATCACATACAGAAAAATTTAAAGAAAAATTAGTGAACAGTATTGAAAGCAAAGGAGGTAACACTGTTTAAAATGGAAACTGATAGTTCTCTGTAATTACCAAGTTGTGTCAGCAGAGGGCGTTTCACCCATTTGCCGCATGTTATTCTAGTTTTCCTGTTAGCCCCCAAATTCTAATCCATTCCTCCAACCTCTTCCCCAGCTGAACAAAAAGAAAAACAACTCTGAAAATGTATTATTACATCAAAATTTCAAACATGAAAGTAGAGAGAATGAACCCACGTGTACTCCTCACTCAGCTCCAATAATTACCAATTCATGGTCCTTCTTTACCCATAGCTTTCCCCTCCTCCTTTCCCCTACTCCTTTTACATAACAAGATTATTTTAAAGCAATCTCCAATACTATGCCATTTTATCTTTAAATACTTTTAAGATGTAAATAGAATAGATAAGAACTCTTATTTTAGACACTACTGTTATCACACCTAAAAATAATTGTCAGTAATTTCTTCATAAATGATAGAATTTTATATGAACAAACTCCAAGATAGTTGTTTCTATCTTTACAATGGTAATAGGGGAGGGCAATGCCTTTTGTGTGTGGATTCTGATCTTTATATAATGATGGTGCATACCTACACACCAGGCCTATAAAGCTCTTTGACTAATAGGCATCTACTGTCTTGTTGGGGATTTGGTTTTTAAATTTTTTTTTTAAGTTTGTTTATTTTTGAGATAGAGAAAGAGAGCGTGAGCAGGGGAGTCACAGAGAGAGAGGGAGACACAGAATCTGAAGCAGGCTCCAGGCTCTGAGCTGTCAGCACAGAGCCCAACACAGGGCTCAAACTCACCAACTGTGAGATCATGACCTGAGCTGAAGTCGGACACTCAACCAACTGAACCACTCAGGTGCCCCTTGTTTTTAATTAGAAAAAGAAAGAACTTCCTCTATGTCTTTGCCAGATTAATCTTCCTAAGGTAGAGCTCTAACCATTTTCCTACACTGCTTTAAAACCGTTCATTCCTTAAAAAAAAAAAAGAATAGAATAGAATAAAACCAAGCTCATTCTCATTGACTCTGCCGACATTTAAAGCTCTTCCCAAAATGATATAACTGTGCTTTTCTAGTCTTGTTCTTTACTAGTGCCATTCTCCAAATATCTACCTTAAATAGACACCTCCATGATTTTGTCATTGCTAATCCCTCTCCCAAGAACATCTCAACTTTTCTCCGTATATCTCCACCCATAAAAAGTGAAAAAATCTAGAACAGTATATAAAATACGCTACCTTTTGTGTGACAAGAGGAGAAAATAAGAGTTTATATTCCTATTAACTAGATTATGCTTAAGTGAACCTAGAAGGATAAACAAAAAATAACAATGGTTGGAGGATAGGAATGGGGCATATAGGGACAAAAGTAGGAAGGAAACTGTTTCATTGCAGAACTTTTTATGTACTTTTTAAAAGTTTAGCCATGTGACTGTCTTACCTATTCAAAAATTTAAATTTAAAAAATAATACAAATGAGGCAAAACAAAATTATCTTTCAGGGTCTAAGTAACTCTTCCATAAAGGCTTTCCTTATCTTGGCTCTATGTGGGTTTTTTCTTCTTTTGACACCTAATTGTATGTTTTTCATATTTGTGTCTGTTATTATTTACTTATGTACTTAATTTGTTCTCCTTATCATCTCCCTCCAACTCCTCTTTCAATCTTACAATCTCCCTGAGAGATTCATGGTGTCTCAAATATTTTGCTTTATTATAACAATCTGTACATAGCATGTACTCATACATTAACTAAAATGAAAGAGAACATATTAGAATAAATGTGTTTTGATTCGTAGCATATATGTGCTTTTTGAATGCATAATTGGAATTTCTTTTGCAAAAGGATTGAAGACAATGATGGTGAATTCTTGTTAATAGAAGCTGCTGACTTTCTCCCTAAATGGTTGGATCCTGATAATAGTGCCAATAGAGTAAGTGTATCCAAGTTTGGAAAATTTACAGAGATGAAATCATGTTACTAGTACCTAGAGTTTGTCAGTGCCCAGAATGAAAATTAAAATGTATCATTTTGCAGGTATTTTTCCACCAGGGAGAGCTGTGCATTATTCCTGCACCAAGGAAACCTGGAGCAGTATCCTGGTTACCCTCCACACCCCCTACAATCCCACAAGCTTTGAATATAATCTCAACACACCCAGAAAAAATTTTGGCTTCAGATTCTATACAAGCTGCTGTGAATAGGCGCATTAGAGGGTAAGAAAAATATTTTCAGTGCTAGTCAAAGAGCCTTTTGATTTAATGCGGTTCAAGTCTTCCACTGAATGTAGAATTTCTTTCACCTAGATTAATGCTCATTTTCATTCTGTCTTCATCCTTCATGAAAGTGACTAACAACAGATTAAATTTACATGTTTTAAAATTAAGGAACAGATGTATCTTTTAATTCCCAATCATAGATGTTATATTACAGTCCCAATACTTTTGCATTTATTTACTTAGATATTGTGGCTAAGTTCTATCTATATCCACAGGTAAAAATTTTGAGACCTTGGGACGCCTGGGTGGCCCAGTTGGTTAAGCATCCAACTCTGATTTCAACTCAGGTCTTGATCGCAGGGTCATGAGTTTAAGCCCCTCGTTGGTCTCTACACTGGACGTGGATCCTACTTCAATATTTTTTGAGACCTTTAGGAATGAAAACCTAAGGGAGCATAGTGTGCTTTGTGGGACTCTGTATAGTATTCTTTGGTCTGTGTGGAACACTTTAGGCTCTATGCCGAAAAGACAGTCTTTACCTAATAACAGATTAGTTCAACCTTTCACATTTGAGTACCTAGGCAATGTTTACTACCATTCAAGTTTTAACAATATAAAAATCTCTCTTAACTTTGTTTCAGCATACTTTGTACCATTGTTTTAAAAGAATAAACTCTGATTTTATTCTTGTTCCAAAAAATAGTAGAGTTTTCATTTTGTTTTTATTGATCTACATTAGTCCCTTTTCTTTATTTTCCATTTCTTCCCACCTTTTCTCTTTCTCTTCTTTTCTGCAGTTTTAGTGTATATGGTAGCTTTATCTTCACTTTCCTTGTCATTCAACATCTCTTGATGAACCAAGACAAGGGGAACTAAATGCTATAAGAACGCTAGATATTTACATATTATAAAATAAAAATAATTATGTTACCTGTCACAGATACCCAGAAAAAATTCAAGCCTCCCTTCATCGAGCACACTGCTTCCTTCCAGCTGGTATTGTAGCGGTGTTAAAGCAGCGCCCCAGATTGGTGGCTGCAGGAGTCCAAGCATTTTACCTACGGGACCCTATTGACCTGCGAGCCTGTCGTATTTTCAAGACTTTCTTGCCTGAAACACGAATAATGGCATCGGTAAGATAGCTCTCCTGGTTATTTGGTTCCTCACTAGCAAGAGAGTTGAACATCATTTTAATTGTGCACTAGAAAAAACTGGAAATATTCTGCTTCCTCATCTCAAGTTAATACACTTTTTTTTTCTTTTCTCCCATTCTAGTGGAGGAAGATTTCAAGAGATTTCACTCCCTAGTTTGTATCTAAATGTTTCCTAGGTATTTTCTGGCCACGTTTTCCCTATTTTGTTTTCTTCTTAAGAATAAAACATTTCATTTCTTCCAGAGAATTAAGAATTATTCTTTATCTAACAACCCACCCAAACTGCCATATAATGTAACTGATAAGAATTCCATTAGTGATAACTAAAAACAGATCATGCAGTTAATTTTATGGTATGTGAATTATTGTATCCCAATAAAGCTGTTACTAAAAAATGTAGGCAGTAAATAGGTTGGATCTTCTTTGCATTTCATATGAATATGAAGCTCATAAGTGGAACTGTGAAATGATATTGAATTTTTACTTTCAGGAAGACTCAATGTATTTTGTGTCCCAATGTCCAGGTCACTTTCACTAAATGTCTATATGCACAGTTGGTGCAACAAAGGTTTGTGCCAGACCGGCGGAGTGGATACAAGATGCCTCCTCCATCTCATCCCCAATACCGAGCCCATGAATTGGGCATGAAGTTGGTAATGAACCATAAAATTTTATATTCTTCCTTTAGGTAAAAGGGCTCTTAATAAATAATGGCACAGCATAGAAAGTCTAGAAATAAACCTTATTTACATGAGAATGTGGCTCTCAAACAAGAAGGAAAATGTGTTATTCAGGAAATGATAATAGAACAACTGAGAAGCTGTCCAAAAAGTTAAAGTTCATTCCCTCACACCTATACCAAAATAAATTCCAGGTGGATGAAATATTTAAATGAGAACATTGAAACCATAATATGTGAAAACACAGAAGAATTTTTGATAATTTGAGTAGAAAAGGCCTTTTTAAACAGGATTTGAAATCAGAAGTTATAAAAAAAAAAAAAAAGACTGGTAACTTTATTAAAAATTAAGCATTTCTGTGTTGGAAAGAAAAATCCCATAGCTAATGTCAAAGATAGTAAACCTGAAGAAAGCATTATATTTGCAGTTTAAAAAAGAGCTAATTTCTATAATATATAGAGAGTTCCTACAAGTTGGTATGAAAAGAAATACTAATTAATTAATTAAAAATGTTCAGAAACCATGAACTGACAGTCCACAGAAAAGGAAATACAGATGATTTTTAATTTAAACATAAAAATGTTGGCCCTTGCTCATAATAAAAGAACTGCAACTTAAAGCTACAAAATAGTGTTTTTTACATTTGGCAAGTATCAAAAAGTTTGATAGTATATACTGGATTGGTGGAAATACATATTTGAGATACTCTCAAACATCATTGATGGGAATATAAATTGATTCAGTCTCTTAGAACAGTTTGTCAATATCCATCAATTTATAAAGTACACAACTCTTCTCGGCATTTTCACTTCTAAACATTTATCCTCCATGTATTTTACATGTGTACATAGATCTGATGATACTCATGACAGTATTATTTCTGGTAGCAAAAGATTGGAAATTACCAAATATCTATTAGTAGGGGAATAGTTAGATAAATTACAACCTGCCTATGAAGTGAATTGGATAAATTTGTGTGATCATATAAAATGATCTCCAAGGCATATGACTTAGTGAAAAAGCAAGGTTTAGAACAGTGTGTATGCTACCATTTAGTGATGGAATAGGATATACAGACACAGATACACATCTGCTTGAGTGCATACATTACTTCTGAAAAGATACGCAAGAAATTGGTAACTATAGTTTCCTCTAGAGTGATCAGGAAAGCTCCCTATCTAATTTATTTTATGTGCATTCATTATATTTTTTAATCAAAGTACCCTTAAAATGATATGATTCCTTCCCTTTGCTATATCTAAGACCATGGTGAATTCATTTATATTTTCTGTTAGATGAGAAGCCTTTTCTAAGCCTTTTTTTAAGCAAACAACAAATAAGTTTAAATTTCTGGTTTTGTGATCAGCAAGAAATCTCTTTGAAGAGAATAAGATCTTTGTTTTGCATTATTTGCTTTCCCTTTATAATTTTTAGTAATCTCTATATAGAAATTGAAAAATTGGAGGGGCACCTGGGTGGCTCAATCAGTTATGCATCTGACTCTTGATTTTGGCTCAAGTCATGATCTCACAGTTCATGAGTTTGAGCCCCACTGCTTGGGATTCCCTCTCTCTCCCTCTCTGCCCCTCCCTGCTCATTATCTCCCTCTCTCTCTCTCTCTCTCTCAAAATAAATAAATAAACAAATAAACTTTTTTTTTAAATGGAAAAATTAGAAATAATCACATTTTTCATAAAATTCAAAGTGTTATAAATGTCCATATGTCAAATGACCTAGTTCTTAAGTGTGACTAAATGGAAAGAAAATAACTTAATGATGAAAATTCTGTCTATTCTATCTAGGCTCATGGATTTGAAATCTTATGCTCCAAATGTAGCCCACATTTTTCTGACTCCAAGAAATCCCTCATGACTACCTCACCACTCTGGGCTGGCTTCCTTGAAAGTCTGAAAAAGAATGATTACTTTAAGGTAGGACTTGCAATGCATTTGTAAAACTGTACAGTCCAGGGGAAATCAAGCTAGTGAATTAGAGATCTATGGTCCATATTTAATGTATAACATTATTAGAGAAGCTAGAGTTAAAAGGGACCATTCTAGTTCAGTGTTAATGAGGGAGTGACTATGAACTGTTTCCAATATTTTAGAAAAGTTAATAATGTTTATATAAATTATGATAGTTATCATTTGTATCTGAAGAGCAATTTATGCAAATCATAAGGCAAATATGAAGACACCAAATAGAAAATGAGCAAAGACACGGATTAAAAAAATTACAAAAAGACAACTAATAAATTTCTTGTAAAATATTTACTCTCACAAGTAGTAAAGATATATGTATCAACAGAATAATAGTTTTTCACGTATGTGAAAAAGGATCTGAATGAGGCTTAATGCTATTGAAAGTACAAATTAATACTCCCTATACATTGCTGGTAACATTGCATATTGATAGAACTTTAGCTGGAAAGTAATTTGCTAGTGTGTTCCAGGAGCTATAGAAAGGTTCAAACTCAGAACCTTTACTTTGAATAATCTATTTTAAGGAAACATCCAAGAAGTAGAAAAGTCCATTAAGAATATGATGGTATATGAACAGACATTTCTCCAAAGACATACAGATGGCCAACAGATAAATGAAAAGATGCTCAACATCACTAACCCTCAGAGATGGTGAGGCTAAATCAGAATGGCTAAAATCTAAAACACAAGAAACAACAGGTGTTGGTGTGGATGTGGAGAAAAGGAACCCTCACGCACCATCAATGAGAATGCAAACTGGTACAGCCACTGTGGAAAACTGTATAGAGGTTTCTCAAGAAATTAAAAATAGAATTATTATATGATCCAGTAATTTCACTACTGGTATTTACCCCCCAAAAATGAAAACACGAATTCAAAGGGATACATGTATTGCTATGTTTTTTGCAGCATTATTTATAGCCAAGATTATTTATAGCCAAGGGAGCCAACCCAAGTGTCCATCACTAGATAAATAGATAAAGAAGGTATGGTATGTGTATACACACACACACGCACACACACACATATGCAATGGAACATTACTCAGCCGTAAAAAGAATGAAATCTTGCCATTTGCAACAAAATGGATGGTTCTAGAGGGTAGAATGCCAAGTGAAATAAGTCAGTCAGAGAAAGACAAATACCATATGCTTTCACTCATATGTGGAATTCAACAAACAAACTAAACAAACAAAAAACCAAACTCTTAGCTATGGTTATCAGAGGGCAGGTGGGAGGATGGGTGAAGTAGGTGAAGAGGATTAAGAGTACAATTCTTGTGGTGAGCACTGAGTAATGTATAGAATTATTATGTTATATACCTGAAACGAATATAATACTGTATGTTAATTATACTGGAATTAAAAAATTTTTTAAATATCATATAAAGACTGTAGCAATATAGAAAAGTGCTTATGATATCATAGTATATTTTTGAAAGAGTGTGAAATATTAAGTACAAATGCCAAAATAAACATGCATGTGAAAAGCAGAAATGGCAGTGAAAATGAGATTATGCTATTTTTTGGTTCTATTTGTACTTTGTTTTATAAATTAATTACAAATCAATTATTTCTTAATAACCAATAAAGTACTAGAAAATGGTAGAAAATCTTCCAAATTGGAAAGAGGTCTTTAATGGTGAAAAGGATTAGGAAGCACTACATAGAGCCTAGTCCCCTTGTTTGGAGAAAATGGAGCCCAAACAGGTACATTAATGACAAAACAGGGACTAGGACTCAGGCCTCGTGATTCCTGAACAACATATCATACACTGACTCCCTGAAAATTGCTGGTGAGTGGGTAATTTCAGTGATACCATGTAAATAATGTTATGATTTTTTTCTTTCAGGGTCTGATAGAAGGTTCTGCTCAGTACCAGGCAAGGCTAGAAATGGCAAAGAACTACTTCCAACTCTCAGTAAACCGGCCAGAAAGGTGAGTTTATCACTACCTAACCATGGCAGCAAGAGTGGTAACCTGCCAGATGTTAAGGAGTTGCTCACTCTTGAGATAGTTGCAGAAATTGGAATTGCTGTATTTAAAGAGTTAACGGCAAGGATCATGACTGCTGAAGGGGATGAACTGGGAGAGAGGAGGTGTTGCTACAGAAGATCACTGGATCTGGCACCCGTCATCATCATCATCACCTAACGGCTAATGTTTATTGGTACTTAAAAGTGTATTGGTACTTAAAAATTTGTTTGATCTCTCTTATAGTCCTGTGAAATAAGTATGATTATTATCATTCCCTAGTTACAGCTGAGGCCAAGAGAGATTAAGTAGTTTGCCAAAGTTCACACAGCTAATTAGTGACAGATCTAGGATTTGAACTCAGGCAGTCTGATACCAAGCATGTGCTTAATTCCTGTAGGAGCCCTTGACTGTGTTTAGCTACATTTAGGAGAGGCTGAAACATAGGATAAAGCAGGCAGTCAGCTTTCAAATCACATCTCATTCTAACCTGCCATACATTGCCTAGAAAAAGAAAGAAATGAACACAGGGTTGGCAGGAAATGGCACCCTTTTAAAATTTTATAAAGTCAAGTTCTCATAACGGTGGAGTAACATATCCAACTAACCCCCTGCCAAGTGTAATTATAAACCCTGGATGGAATTTAAGAAACAGTTATTTGAAGACACAGTAGAACAACAAAAGTGGGCCAAAATTGAAGGAAATAGAACCCTTTGAAAGAAGAAAATCACAATAGATGAGGTCCTCATTATCTGAGTTGTCACCTGAGGTCACTTCCTAGTCAGTGCAGCACCAAGGAAAATAGAGCTCAAGCAGAAAACTTTGGTCTTATTGAGCTCAGGAATCAAAGGTCAGATTTTGAGTATTGGAAAAAACTCAATTTATGTTTGTAAAATTGAATTTGAGATACTCAAAGCTATTAAATAATATAAAAGCAATGGCTTTTGTATATATCATGGTTAAAATGTCCCAAGTTGTATGTGTTTTTCATTTGTTGGACTTTTTTTTCTTTTTTCCCTGGAGGAAACTTAATTGGTTTTGAACTTCATTCATTTTGCTTACATCTCAAACATCACTTATTTGTGTAATAGAATGTTCTTTGAGGACTGGTGAAGCAAAGTTGATGCTGAGAGAACTCTAACCTCAGTGTCTGTGAGATAATAATGACTTTACAGCAGTCTTTACTCTTTCAGAAGTGTCTGCGTGTGTCTTTGTCCTGCTCCCATCAGTTTTATGGCAGTAATTGATGGTAAAAAGAGGATGCCTTCTTAGGGAATCATTTCAGAAAACTTGCTCGAGAGTCAGAAGAGGAAAAGAGGTGGCCTCATGTTTAGGAGAATCTGCCCCAGATGATTCCCATCCACCTCCGTGGGCCACTCTGTCTGTGAAGACACGTCACCTTACAGACTTGGGTTAAAGAGATGTTAGAAAATTAGACTCATGTGTAGGAGAATCAGGGCTCCTCACACAAAATAAGATAGATTAGTGGTTAGGTAGTTATTTTTAAATAATGGAAGTTTGTTAGGGCACCTGGGGGCTCAGTCAGTTAAGCATCTGGCTCTTGATTTTGGCTCAGGTCATGATCTCAAGTTTTGTGAGTTTGAGCCCTGCATCGGGCTCTGCACTGACAGTGAAGAGACTGCTTGGGATTCTCTGGCCCTCTGTCTCTGCCCCTCCCCTGCTTGCACGTGCTATCTCTTTCTCTTTCAAAATAAATAAATATTAAATAGATAATGAAGTTTGTTGTTGTTACAAAAGTAATGTATTCACTCATTATAGCAAATAAAGATGTAATAAGGAAAAAATATATATCAGAGAGTCAACTACTATTATCATTTTGATCTACTGCATTCCAGGATTTTTTTTCCCCATATCCATCTAGTTGATTTTTTTTAAATTGTACTATGTAAAAATTTTGTATCCTGCCCATAATTTTACTTATTACCATCTTACATTTTCCAATGACATTAAAAAGTATTTATAAGTGTAATTTTATTTTATTTTTTCTTAAAGATTACATATTTATTTTGAGGGAGAGAACATGAGTGGGGGATAGGCAGAGAGGGAGGGAGAGAGAGAATCCCAAGCAGGCTCCCTGCTGTCAGTGCAGAGTCCGACACAGGGCTCGAACCCACAAATTATGAGATAGTGACCTGAGGTGAAGTTAGATGCTTAACCGATTGAGCCACCCAGGCGCCTCTATAAGTGTAATTTTAAAGAGCTGCACAACATTTCAGCAAATGGATGTACCATGACTTACTCAACACACCTTTACTATTGGAGAAAGAATTATAAGTAGCTTAAATGTCCAACATTGTAAATAGTGCTGCAGAAGAGACTCCTGTTCCCCAAACCAGGATAACTTCTAAACAATTTAAAACCAAACTCACATCTCCCTCAGACCTGTTCTTGAATTCCCAGTTTTTTGGTTTTTTTTTTTAATACTTAGATTAATGTCAGAGACTGTTTCCCACTCTCTTTTTTAATAGACTACCATCCTTCTTATCACCTAGACCTCCTGGCTCTCGTTTGATCCAGTCCCTAGATCTTTTTTTTTTAATTTATTTTGAGAGAGAAGGAAAGAGAGTGCATGTGCATTAGCAGGGGAGGGGCAGAGAGAAGGGGAGAGAGAGAATCCCAAGCAGTCCCCATGTCATTGCAGAGCCTGACATGGGGCTCCATCGCATGAAACATGAGATAATGACCTGAGCCAAAATCAAGAGTCAGATGCTTAACTCACTGAGCCACCCAGGCTGCCCCCTAAATCCTTTTTATTGTTATCTTGTGTCTTACATTTTTCTTTTTTGCTGCCTACCTACTCTAATATGTATATATATATTTTAACACTTATTTCTTGAACTATAACGATACCTAAACTTGCTTCCCAACCTCTAGTGACTCTCCACTTCCAATGCAACCATTAGAGCCAGAGAATATGCTTGAAATATATCTTTAATCATATTACCCCCTCTCCTAAAAATTATTAGAGATTGTAATAGTGAAAAATTGAACAGTGTAAGTATCCATCAATAGTAGATAAATGGATTGCGGTGTGTTTGTAGGATAGACTACTATCCATTACGTAACCAGAGATTAGCTAAATATATGTAAACCAATCCAAGGTTTCTAAACCTTGGCATTGTTGACATTTTGTACAAGATAATTCCTTGTTGTGGGAGACTGTTGTGTGCATTATAGGATGTTTAGCAGCATCTCTGGCTTCTACCTAGTAAATGCCAGTAGCTGTCCACCCTGCCCCCAATTGTGACAACCAAAAATATCATCAGACATTGCAAATGTCCTCTGGGGGCAAAATTGTCCCCAGTTAAAAACCACTGATCTAAATATATACGTCTTGTAAACATGATGTTGAATGAAAAAAGGATATTGTAAATGTGTACAGTATGGATTCTATTACATATAAAAAGTTTTAATACATAGGGGCGCCTGGGTGGCGCAGTCGGTTAAGCGTCCGACTTCAGCCAGGTCACGATCTCGCGGTCCGGGAGTTCGAGCCCCGCCATCAGGCTCTGGGCTGATGGCTCAGAGCCTGGAGCCTGTTTCCGATTCTGTGTCTCCCTCTCTCTCTGCCCCTCCCCCGTTCATGCTCTGTCTCTCTCTGTCCCAAAAATGAATAAACGTTGAAAAAAAAAATTTTTTAAAGTTTTAATACATAAAATACTATATATTACTTACAGACATGTATATATTAATTCATTCAACCAATATTTATTATTTCCAGGCACTAGGGATACAGCAAGCAAATCCAAAGTCTCCCTGCCCTTATGGAGTTTACATGCTAATGTAGGAGAAAGACAATAAATCACTATATGCTGTTAGATGGTGATCAGTGCTTTAAAGAAAAAAAACAGCATGTGGGGACAGAGAGGTCTAGGCTGCTCTTCTAGATAGTTTGGTCAAGGAGGACTTTCCAAGGAGGTTTAGTTTGAGAAGACACATAAGTGAAGTGAGGGAATGAGGCATACAGGTATTTGGGGGGATAAAATTCCAGGGAAAGAGAACAAACAGCAGTTACAACATAGATACGTACACATGCGTGTGCGCACACACACAGACATTCACACATATACACACTCAGTGGACCAGAAGGGTATTTGTGAGAGCAATCATTTCTGGGTAGCAACAAGATGGATTGGAACTGATAGTGTTGGTCATCAAAGGAAAAATATTAGCTTTATGTATAATTTTTAAGGAAATGTATATGTTACTTGTTTAATTTTTTATGTTAAGTGTCAAAGTATAATCATACCTTTAGATTAGAAGTATAACAATATTATAATTCTAGGTGGGTAAAGATATGCTATATCATCTTTTTTTTTTTTTTTTTTTTTTTTTTTTTTGGTCATCTTTTAGACTTGTCTGCACTATTTAAATCTCTTAAAACAAAAATTAAAAATAAAAAAGAAGCTGTCAGTGATCACCTACTGCTTATTTCATTGAGTCCAAACTTAGCCATTTCAGGCTCACTGTGCTCTCATTTCAGTCCATCTGTTCAGCCCTGTCTGCCCCACTTAAGCCACACTGAACACCATTTGCTTTGTGAACATGTTCCTCAATTCTCTGCCTCTATACAAATGTTCGTTTCCCCATCTTGCCTGAAGTTTCTCTACCCTATCTTCCTTGTCAAAATCTTACCCATTCTTTAAGTCCTAACTCAACTACGTCCATTATCTCTTTTCCTTTTTAATTTTCTTGTAGTTAATATAATCATCTCCTGTGACTCTACATAGCATTGGTATTCCTATATGATTTTATATTTTGTAACTTGTTTTGATTATTTGTGTATTTCTTTTCTCTCTCCTAATAATATTTTCATAATATGGAGTAGGGATGATTTCTTGTCACCCACATGATTTAGCAAGGTATGCAGATCTTTATTAAATAAGTGTAAGTCCATTCTATAACTTGATTTGCTCCATTCTAGATAGGTCAGGGAAGCATG